AATATCAGAAATTTAATTCAATTACATTTTTGGAATTCTTTTTTTCGGGCCAAATTACATTTTTTTGAATTCAATTACATTGACTAATCAATTTCTCACTGTTTTGATTAGTCAAAAAATAATAATCAGTTGCGTGCAAAATTTATCTTCTCATCCTTCAAAGTTCATCATCTGGCAGAAATTTTTGACTAAAATATTCTTGTCTCTTTATCTTGTATTTTTATTTTAAATTTTACATACTTATCATACACCAAATTTTTTATATGTTTTTAAAATAAAATACACACGATATAAAAATTTTAAAATTATAAAAACTATTGAAGCATGATTTAGCCAATCGTTAAATGAAGGGTCATGAAAGAAAAGGAAGATAAGCTGATAGCTTGAGAGATCACGGGGCAGGGAGCAGGATAATTTTTTGAAATACCCAAAATACCCTTCTCAAAACCCAAAAAATGCATCCCTGAATCAACATAAGGGAAAATGACAATTAAGAACCCATAGGTCATGAATGTCAATTGAGAACTATAAAATATTAAAATTCCAATTAAAAATTATAGTCTTTACTTAAAATTTAAAAAATATAAATTGTCTTAAATGCCCCTAAAAAAACTTATTTAGTAAAGTTAGTAAATTCTTAAATCACTTTCGTATATTCATAAATAATATTGAAATATTTTAAAAATGAGTTTCTTTCATACTAGAAAACAATTTATTTTCAAGTATAATTTTTTATTTCTTAACTGACAATAATAATATTCTTATACCACGATAATGATTTTAACAATGTCATCCTTGTATTGTTTAGGTGATACTTATTATAAATAAGCATGAAATTTAACAAATAATTAGGTTCATATTCTTGAGTGAAGCTAGTAAATTTTTAAGACACTTTTTTATATTCATAAGTGATATTAGAACGTTTTAAAAGTGATTTTGTTTCATATTCAACAATTTATTTGGTGTGGTTCTTGTTTTTTCAACTGACATTAATAATATTCTCATGCCATAATAATGATTTCAGCAATACTATATACATTTTAGTGTTTAGTAGAGAAAAATTTTATAAAATTATATATGTTTTTTATTCCAAGCAAAGATTATGGTACTTAATTGGAATTTTAATATCTTATAATCCTTAATTAAAATTAATAACTTTAGGGGGTTCTTAATTGTCATTTTTCCTCAACAAAATCCCCACATCAACTACCAAATTAATAAATTGATACCAGCAAAAAAAATTTCCTTGGGACAAATAGCAATCAAACACCTCTATATAAAATTTATATCAGTCAAGAATTAATTATTGTCAAAACTTAAATAGATACTTCTTGATAAATAATTTTAAATAGATTATTATTAATTTAGAATGAGTTATTGTTAAAATTTAAATAAATATTTTTGATTCGTGTTAATCTTTTATCAACAAATATTTATTTAAGTTTTGACAATAATTGATCTTAAATTATGTGAACTTCAAACAAAGATCCTTAATTGCTATTTTGCCTTTCCCATATTTGATCAATAAGTAACGCAAATCTAAATTAACAAATTCTTTTTAAGTAAGTCTCATCAAATTTAAACAAATCCCTAGCCAGGGGCCTAGGTAATAAAATAAGAGGAAAAAAGAAAAAGCAACAATAACTACAAAATTGTTTAAGAATGACCCAATGCTAAAACCAACAACAAATGAGATAAATCCACCCAAATTTGATGGCAAGTTCCCATTTCCTAATACCTAAATCAACACCAATGTAGTAGTAATTAAGAATGAAGAAGTTGAACAAGAAATGGTCCATTCCTCTCAATGCCAACTTTGAAGGATGATGGATCGAATCAATAGGATGGGAGAAACAATCAACAAGGCCAATATTAAAAAAGGCAAGCCCACTAGACTTCAATATTAAAAATTAGAGATGAGTAAAGAGATAGAAATAGACATGATTTGAGAGTGGGGAGATGTTAGGTCTTTTGAAATTGAGACAATTTTTCTACAGTGAAGCTTTTTTTTTAATTATTGGTAGGAAAGATGCTTGGATTAAATGCTAGCAGACCATCTTCATTCGGACAAGGGTGAAATTTGGTTGCCTAACTTGCATAGTAAGGGAAGTTGGTCTCATGCATAATAAAGGAATGGAAGTTAGTCTCCTTGGATGCCAAGTGAGATTTTTTTTTAATACAAGACCATGGTAAAAACACCATGCAAAAAGACCAAAGTCAGGTCATGTCAAAAGTTAAAATGCTTCTATAATCTATGGGAGCGTCATCAAATAAAATAGTATTAAAATTTTCGCTTGAGGCCTTGTGGGCTAAAAGATGAGCACAGTGATTTGCTTTTCTGTAGACGTGTCTTAAAGTAACCTCCCAATTCCTCATGATAAGATTTTTGATGCTTCTGATAATTGCTGAGAGTAGATGGCTCCGGACGAAGCTACCATTAATGAGGGATATGGCCTTCATTAAATCAGAACAATCATTAATTTTAGGAATCTTAACATTCCAACAAATGTTTAGCCCTTCTAGAATTCCTATAAGCTCAGCAGCTGTGCTATGTTGGTAATCAAGTTTTTTAGTGAATCCTTTGATTTAGTTACCCTTGTCATTTCTAATAAGACCTCCACAAGTTGTGCACCATTACGCTTGACTAAACCATCAACATCAAATCTCGCCTACCCAGGATTCAAAAGCTTACATCTTGCTTCATATTTGGTGTTGAAATTACTCAAACAATCAAGCTTGGATTGAAGTTGCAAGTTATTTATAATTTATTGGGTGTGAAAGAAAGCAATGTCTTTGTCTAAAATAATGTCTTTAGAGTAAACTTCCTTGCATCTTGCTTTCTATATATTCTAGCAGGCTTGGCCAAAAAGTTTTTCCCAAGGTAATTCTCTAGTGTACATGCTTCTTGCTTCATTATTAGCAGTTTAAATTATCCAATCCTGCACAGAAATAAAAAAAAGTATTTTATTTGGAAGGGTTAACTAATTTTTTTCCAAACCTCTTATGCTAAGTGAGATTTTTAGCCAATTACCAAATGGGACTTTCAATGTTTCATGACGTTATAAGTAATACAATTTTTAATAGTATATCCGTCTCTTTTATCAAATATAAGCAATAAAACCCCTATATTTTTTATGCAATTGTAGCCTTTATCTTTAAAAATTTAAAATTTACCTTTCCAACTTTTTATTTTTTCAATTACAGATTCCTCTATGATTATTTTTTAACTATTTTACTAGCAAAAGTTATCACATCATATTAAAAAAGACACAAAGCAGTTTATATGGCACTAATGTAAGCTAATAATAACATATTAACATTTATGTAGTTGAGCTGATGGTCATTAAAATTGAAAGTCTTATGATTGTTTGTGGAAAATTGCACCCAAGGACCAATTAAGAATATTTATTGCAGAAAAAAGAACCAAACATTTCTGAATTTACTTTACAAGACCAAATGACTTAAATAAAAGCAAAATTTATTATAAAAAGACAAAATTACCCCTCATCTGTTTTTTTACTTAAAAACCCACTACTGTAAAAATAATTTTTTTAAATCAAATATGAGGATAGTTTTGTCTTTTCACAATAAATTTTAGTTACATTTAGGTTCCTCAATCATACCAAGAAAATTCAGAATTATTTGATCTTTTTTTGCAATAAATATTTTTTTGGTAAAACGCAATAAATATTTTTCATTGGTCATTGGACGCAATTTTCACGATTATTTATAAGATGCATCTTTGTAAAAATAACTTTAAAAATATTGATGAAAATCTGCAATGGCAAAAGATTCTTATAATTTTTTTGGTAAAAAAAATTCTTATTATTTGTTATATATCCCGGTTATTTGATTTATTATACGCTTAAAGGAGAAGTTTTGTGGTCCTTTTTATAACAAACCAAATTTATTACAATTTTTTCATTTGAGCTCTATTGATGAATGAAAACAATCTTTTTAAAGATGTATTCAATAAATTTTAGAATTTTTCCTTTACTAATAACATTGTGCTTATCAGCAAAGAAAGAAGAAGTGAAGTACCGATGGGTTGTTGGGGAAAGTGGGAGAAATGATACGACCAACACAAAAAAAAATTCATGGAACCGATTAAATGCGAAGAATATTTTGTGCTTTGGAGACAGCTAGGAAACCCAAAGCAAGCCGCGGGTATCTGAGTACCAAAAAGGCAGGAAAAATAACAATTAAAAACCCTAAATTATTGTAATCTTAATAATAGCTTATTGTCCTTGTTTGTAATTAAAAATATATGAGTTTATAAAATATCACTCCACTTAAAAATAAAGAAATTGACACTGTTGAAATTATTATCATTATAAATATCATTAATTTCAATTGGAAAACTAAAGAATAATAGTTGAGAATTGATTTTTTTTCAATATGAAAATAAAATTTATTTTTAAAACTTTTTAAGGATACTTATGAATATATAATAATCACTTAAAAATTTACTGAAGTTACTTTTAAAATGAACCCAATCACTTAAGAATTTTTATACTTATTAATATATAGGTAGACTACTTAAAAAATAAAGAAATGACCTTGCTATAATTATTATCATGTGATGAAATATTATTAATTTAAGTTGAGAAACATAGAGTAATAATTGGGAATGAATTACTTTTCAAAATAAAATTAAAATTTATTTTTAAAAATTTTTAAAAGCACTTGTAAATATACAATAGTTACTTGAAAATTTATTAAAATTATTTTTAAAAAATATTTTATACTATTTTTATTTTTTTAATTTTAAGGATGGATTATGATTTATTATTAAAATTTTAAAAATTTAGAATCTCTAATTATAATTAATGACATTTGGGGTCCCTAACTGTCAGTTTCCCGAAAAAAGGCAAGAGCGATCAAAATAATAGGGCAAATTAGCAAAACGAGGGAGAGAGTAAGGGCATATCCGTAATTGATCGAAAAGTTAATAAAGAAAAGGCCCGCAAGGCTTTCCAGTCGCATATGTTCAGTCATCGTGTTGTACGTTTCCATACAGCTATTTCCTGTTGGCTCTTAGCTATCTTGCTCTTCTCGCGCCCCACTCTCCTTTCTCCTTTGCTTCACTTGAATATTCTATAAATAATTAAATATATACTCACGCGTCTCTACGCTGCTCAGTAGCATCAATATTAGAGTTCTGAATTCTCAAGATCTGAAATCGCGCTCTCATGGAGGATCGTAAGGAGGTAAATTCTTGTCTATTTTCTTTTTTCTTTCCATTCCCTCTTAGATGTGTATGGTGTTTATCCTTGATTTCTCGCGTGGTGGCTAGTCCCTTCCCTCTCAACATTCTTTCGTATGGCGCGGACCTGGAATCGATGTTATTGTGTGAGAGTTGTGCGATTGAGGAATTCTTCAAAATGAATTGATGGTTAAGAGCTCCGTCGGTCTGCATAATCATAAATCTAGATAGAAATTTTCAAGGTTCTGTTTGAACTAGCTTATTTAGGTTCCGTCATAGAAATGCCTGAAAATCAGCTTGTTATTGGTTTTGATTTCTGTAATTAAGCTTGTTTTTGGAAGTTCGCGTGAATGAGTCTTCGAAAGCTCAGTTCGATATTTTGCTTCTCCTGAAGCTTAGCCCATCTTATTCAATGTTCATTTTGGTAATTAGTTATTGGTTCCATATTACAGGTCATGCGCCGTCAGATAGATTAATTCTTTCTTTCATTCTTTCATTGTTTTTTTTTTCCGTTGCTATTTTTCTTTGTGCTCCTTGTACTTTTCGCCGTTTTACTTTGTCAACAGTGGATGCGAATAATTTTCCAGCTCTTTTTTTTTTTTTAATTTCGGGTCCGAATTTTCCAGCTCAGTTTAATCAACCAATTCATCCGTGTTACTGTTAATCCTTTGACTAGACGACGTCAATGATGCATTCGTACAAGTAATCATACATTTCTCTTTAAATTCTAGAACGTTGAAACTTTTTATTTATTTATTTATTTTTAATTTGGGTTCTTCTGGCAAAAAGATATTGTGACCATCTTATTTCTCCAAATACTTGTCTACAACGTTGAAACTTTTTGTTTCATTTCACAATGAGAAATAGTGCCATTGCTTCCTTTAATTCATGTCATTTCCATTATAACCAATGACCATGCGCAGTGATATGTAGATATTAAGTTATGAATCTCTTCCTTGCAGAAAAATGCGCCCTGGTTATCTGTTCCACAGTTTGGGGATTGGGATCAGAAGGGGCAAGTGCCAGACTACTCAATGGATTTTTCAAAAATCCGGGAAATGAGGAAGCAAAACAAGACAAATGTTTCCAGGGCGAGTCTTGGTAACGAAGAAGAGCTCATGGCTTCTTCAACTGCCAGCATAAACACTGGGCACAGTATCACTGATCACCAGCATTCCCATTACCATCGAAGCCACCACTCTTCAACTGTAAGATTCATTGCTAACTTTTCAATTAAGAAATAATTTAACTCAAAATAGGAAATACTATTATACAACTCGTAGTTGGCGCCATGAATGACAAAGATAGAAGTATATCCACAATAGTTTTGCTGAAAATTACGAATGTTCCAAAATGTGTAGCAGAAATGAGGACGCATTCCTAGAAATCTTGTAGGTACCTGCCGTCTGATAATTCGTATCCTCAGGTCTCCTGTCTCTTGTTATGATGTTTGGGTCTATTATTATATTCTTTTCATTAGGCCTTAAAATATGGTTCACCATTAGTCTTTGGGTCAATACGTCAATAGATGTGACACTTTCAATAAATTGAATTTCAGCTTGCTGGAGGAAAGAAATGACCAATCGACATTTCACTAGCATATGAAGTTAATTTGAATTCTTTTATTCCTTATTTTGCTTAATATTTTAGTGTTCTAGTCATGTAGCTGTGTTGGTGGAAGTGTTAAATTGTAGCTTACGAAAGGTGGGGGCAATCTCGAGATTCAGAAGAGAACTGTCCCAGGGATATTTGGGGTTTCTGAAGGAATGCTTTAATACCCAACAATTACTTGTTAATAAACCGCGAACAGTTTATCCTATTTAAGCTAATTCCTCATTTACTTTTCATGTTCTCTGACAGGCAAGAAAGAGCATCTTCAGCTACTTCAACTGTTGCGTGAAAGCTTAACATGAATACGTGGTGTAGAATATTTTTCTTGTCTTCTGTAGATTAATTTGGTTGGGGACAATCATGCTTCTAGGCATTTTGATCTTGAATGAATTTTTTTTTTTCCTTTTTAATCCCGCTCTTTTATTGGTGACACCACTACCTAAAATATTCAGAAATTTAGTTAAAGAATAACATGCACAAAAAAAAAAATTATAAACATGAAACCGTACTCCCGACTGATTTTGCCGGGAAAATATATTAAAAGATATGCATTTTCAAAGAACATGATAATTTTTTACCTGTAAAGAAATTAATGAATTAAATCAATTAAAAAACAAATATAAGCATGAAAAATTAATTATCTTAAGTACACTTTAGGCTGATGGAGTTTTTAGCAAGGAAGGATGAACAAATAATCTCTGGTTTTATAAAGAAATGTAGAAGATAAAAAAAAAAAGGCACTCACTAAAGTTGTTAGTCAAAATCTATAAATTATGTTTGGTAGGTGGATTAAATTTGAAATAAATTAAAGTGGGGTGACAGTAGGATTAAGTTTTAAAACCATGTTCGTATAATTTTTATCTAACATCTATATTTATAATCTAAAATACCATTCTACCCTCACCAACATAAAAAAAATTAACAATAAAAAAATTGAAATCAGCCATCTACTTTGATGAATTCTGCCAACTATTGAAACTTTCAAAAAGCACTATAATAGTTTTCTGGGTAAAGGAACAAATTAGTTGTTAAATTATAGGTTCAAGAATATCTGAAATTTTAAATTTATTTCTTAATATAATATTTTTCTTCAACTTTTAAAAATAATATAATTTAACTCCTATTATTAATAAAAGTGTTGAGTTGACCAAAACATGACAACAACAATTGCCAAAAAAAAAAAGGGATCAACACAAGTTCCTTTATGTTTTCCTATAACTTTTTGGATGCTTGTTTGTATTTTGTATCACCAGATCGTCATCAAATTCGAACTACATCTGGTACTAGTTAATGACGGTGGTTATTCCCCAAACGTCAAGCTAGTCATGTGTTTTTTTGAATCGGTCTCAATTCAGATCAGCTTTATTTGGGCCAATCCAAATAAGCAAGAATATATAGAGAAATCTATATAATCGATCTTGTCCCTAATAATCATCAGATTTATTTTTAAAATTTTACATAATTAGATTAGGAGAGGGAGCACGGTTGGAGCAAGCTTCAACTTGCGGCTTCAGTTTCAGATCAACAAGAGAGGAGCACGAAATGACAATTCCACATAATATTGAAAGGGGGAAAATTAAGTTTCAAGCTTAGCTGTTATGCTTTGTCCATGAATGGACAAAGGATAACAGCTTCTTTGCATCTACCTTTATTAATTTCCGCTGCTTTTCCCAAATATTTATACCAACCAAGATCAAAAATTACATCAGCCAGGATCAGAAAATTTCCTATAACCTCCATACTAAGAAGGCGATGGAGTGAGTGAAGGAGAGCGTGGAGAGGAGATCGTCGACGACACCAGGGAGGGTGGAGAAACTCATCCACGTCGGCGCCAGTGGTATCATCTAAGTTTGGGGTTGTCTTCAAACGCATTTAAGTGGTAACGTTACCAGTTCAGCAGACACATCCATGTTTATTGTTTGGACATCTTATGACACTGCTTAGATTCCTAATCTCCGCCACGCTGTCACCAAGTTTGAGATTGTTGTCGGCATTATTCATTACACATACTTAGTTGTTATCAACCTAAAAAATATATTTTCGTGTTTTTTCAATAGAGATTTCAGCAACTAGAAAGTTATTGGAAACTTAAAAAAAAAAAGAAAATTACACTGAAGTCCCACCAAGGATTTCAATTACCCTCAAATCCCATACTACCAAGTCCTAAATTATTGTACAATTACAAAAAAAAAAAAAAAACCCTTTCAATATTTTATTTTTTTTAAAAAATATATAATTCATCCACCATCGGCCCCAAAACTCCAACCAGCATCTGCCAGGGGCCTCCCAGTCATTCACATTCACTGATATAATAGTGCAAAATATATATATATATATATATATATATATGTTTAATAACTTGTAACAACTTCAACAGAAGAAAATGACAATTTAAATTTACGTAAATAACAGCTTGAATATACGCATATGACGACTTAGACAAAAAAATGACTACAATATCAGAAAAACACAATTTGGGTTGAACTGAATAACAATTCAGGTAAATCAAAATGACAAATTAGCCAAAAAAAAAATGACAACTTGAATATAAGAAAATGACAACTCCACAAAAAAAAATGATAACTCATGTATCAGAAAATAACAACTTGAGTTTAAATAAATAATAATTTGGATATAAAAAAAATGACAATATGCATGTATGAAAATAATAATTTAAGTAAATGATAATTGGGATATATGAAAATGATGACTTGAATATACAAAAATCACAACTTAATAAAAGACAATGACAAGTTGGGCATAGACAAATAAGAAGTTACTATTTTTTTATTCTCAAGTTTTCATTTTCTTTTATTAAGTTGTTATTTACTTAAACTCAAATAGTCATTTTTTTGGGGTCAAATTGTTATTTTCTTAAATGTACATATAATAAATTATAAAATTATAAAGTTTAAAATTATTATATACCAAGTATAAATATTACATCTCATAATTATTCTTATTTTTAAAATCATGAAATAGTAATTAGATTATATTTTGTATTTATCATAACAATTTTACTAAGTTGCAGAGAAGTTAACCTCTCACCTTGGCCTTCCAATTTTTAATTACTAATAAAATGATATTTAATCATATGAGAAAAAATTATTTAAACTCACACTAGAAATTTAATTTTATAAAATATTACTTTCTTCTTTTTTTGAGAAAAATATAAAATATTACTTTCACTGTTATATTCATCAAACTAGAAATACACTAACCTGATCATGATAATTCCAACTATAGTTGGACCCTGATCATACCAATGGCTACTGACTATCCTTTTTCACTGCAACAGCAGGTCCAGTTTTTACAACAATTTCTGCACAATTTAGTTTCTCTCAAAATAAAATTACCCTACCGGCTTTATCCTGGTTCCAGATAACAGTCACTTGAATCAAAATTTAATGCCAACTTTTTTCCCCGGCAGAAAAGGCAAATACATAAAAGGCCCGTTTGATTATTAAAAAATGATGAAATAAAATGAATTAAAAAATTAAAATAAAAATGAACTAAATCATCCTCCTCCCATAATAAGCATAGTAAAATTTATTAATATATTTAAACATGAGAATTATCATACTATCAAAAAATCTTATGAATTGTAATTCTCAACTCCATAAACTAAAGTACCTTTTTCCTTATCAATGTACTCACTCATCCCCTTCAATCATCTTATTTTTACTTTTATTTTTTCAATCCATTTCATTTTATTTCTTTTTAATAACCAAACGGGACCTTTTAAGTATAATCTACACATAAAAATTAAAGAATGAGACTAAAAAGTAGGTGTTAAAATTGAACACCGACACCAGGAACCAGTGACAATAGTGGATCAAGTGGAGAAGATTTAATTAAGTAATGCTACGAATTAAATTTCGGTCTTGTAGATTAAAAAACAAAATCAGACTTTCGCCCATTTAGAAGTCCACAAGAATCAAATTGAGATTAATCAATACTCCCTCTCACCCTATATGTAGAAGCTAGTTGAGAATTTTATCTTGATTCCAAATTTTATTCTAGTCTCCCATCTATATTATTTTTTTCCAAAACCCAAACTACCCTTATAATTAGATTCTTATATGAAGTATAACCTATGTTAAATTGTTAATAATATCCCAATGTAAATGACTAAAACAAAAGTCTTTCAGGAAAATCAGCATACATTTTCATACAAATAATTAACCTACCTTACCTTTTTTTTAATCTAGGTGAATTAGCTCACTAGCTTATACATATAAAATCGAAATAAATAATACCAAATACAAGTAGGGAGAGGGGTCTCAACCTGTTTTTACCCTCCTTTTCTCTCCCAAGTGTTCAAAAAATCATTTTATAAAATGATACCAATGGTTAAGATTGGGGACGCGGAGAGAAAAGGAGGGAAAAAAAAAAAAGAGACACCTCTCCCATCCTATTGCGTGTGTACAAGATAACACCAAACACTAATGCTAAACAGCTATCACAAAAACAAAAAACAAACAGCATCAACATGGTCATGGTAAACTTCAACTCATAATAAAATTTCTCCAACATGATTGATACGTAATCTTCAAAACTAGAAAAACCTACGAACCAAAAGGATTGAAAAGTTAAAATTTTGTAAATTTCATGCAGTTTTCTTTTTTAAAGAAGAAAGAAAAGATTTTATGTTTTATAAAAAGTAATAAAACGAGGGAAAATACTAAAAATAAAAAACTTAATAGAAATTCATGAATCTCAACTTTGGATTTAAATTAGAACCCAAATGGGCCATGCAGAAAGATATGAAAGGAATACCAGGCTACCAACATAGTGAATTCTCAAACCAGATAATTTTATCATTAATCTAGAGAATTGTGTCAATCCCCTAAAGAACTACTACCCATCATTTTGTTCGGATGCCTGGCACTGGACTAAATTTCGCAGTGTCTATAACTAATAAACCTCAGCTTAATGTCTATAAAAACGCCGACACACAACTATGACACAAACTCCGGGGACAACCCACAGAGATTTTACAGGCATCCTTTGACCACAAAATGGCTCAACTATACATCAAGCAGCACCATAGTCTATACCTAACGCTAATTCCCCACTGAAGAAGGGGCACAAAACAAGTTATGGGAATAGAATATAACTGGCAGACCCTGGAATCAGGGATTCACGAGATATTACTGCCCTAGAGCCCAATCCCAAATTACCTGCCTTGCTTTTCGTTCACTTGTCATGTATCATCTTCAATCCCTTTTGAAGTAAACTATACTTTTTTGATAATCTGAACAACGTCTTCATCCTCAAGTTCATGCTCCTGGAGAGGTGACAAAAGACCCTGGTTAGCACCTCACATCTTTTGATAGTTATATATATACTCCCTCTGAAACACAATATATATCATTGTTAACTAATTCACGATTTACAAAAAATATTAGTTGAAACCTCGATTTCCAAAAAACATCCATATCCTTCCATTTATGCATTTTTAAGAGTTCCCAGCCACACAAACACGGTCTTCAAATATGGGGCATTTAAAGACAAGGAATTTAACAAAAAAGGGGGGGTATGAATGAAAAGAAAACATAAAATTTACCCAATGCCCTATATTTTGAACCAATGGTGGCTTCTAAAAAGTGACTTATATTATGGTCTAGAGGAAGCATATATTAACAAGGGAAATAAAGCAAAAGGACAGACTAAGGAAGAAAACAGGTAAGTTAGTAGTTCAAGTGGAATCGACCTTGCCAACTCTTTGAGGCTTGTGCTTCGCGCTCGAACCCCAAACCAAAGCACTGCATCAATAGCATGCGAAAGCAGAGGATAAGTGCAAATCATACTTATGACAACCCCCAAAAATGACCAAGGCATTTGAAGTAACAACATCAAACAAATGGAATCCAGTATTAGTAGATTCAATCCAAAAACCCAGAGTCCAGAGCCAGTAATTTAGGAGGGACAGGCTCAATTCAAGTCAAACTTATTCAGATCAGGCTTAAAATACTCAAACATATAAAAAAACCCATATAACCAAACCCAACCCTAACCCCTAAGGCTTTCAGGCTGGCCTGAATCCTCGAATTATTATATATTATTTTATTTTATTTTTATCTAATTTCAACATCTATTTAAAAAAAAAATATTTTCAATCTTTATCTTAGTTTAATAGTATTTTATTAATAATAAAAAAAGAATTCAGATACTCATACTAAACTGATAGAACCCAACTCTAAACTTAAATGCACAACAACATAAAACTATAAAACAAGCAATAAATGAGGGAAATGCTGAGGTTTTGCTATTAATGACTGGATAACCGAATCAATGTTACAAAAGGACTTTCACTGATTCTGGCCAAAACCCTATTCCCTAATCAGTACCAGGATTACAAGGACAAATGCTGAAACAGCCCCTCGCTGGTTTTTCGAGAGACCAGGACTCTCCTCACTTGTATCTCTTCTCTAAAACATTCTTGATGAGTCCTTCCCAAAACAAAGTACAATATTAAAGCAACCCAAAAGTAACTCTAGCTACTATGCTGAGTCTATAGCCACTCTACAAACATCATGACTTCTCCCTATTATCAGGACCCTTAGTACAATAACCTTAAACTGCTGGGTCTTTCCTCTCTGTCCCTTGTCTCCCCCTCAATTTCCTCTCATATGTCTTGATATATTTTCTGGCTCTATCATAAACCCATTTAGGTTTGGGCTTCGCCCAGATTTATTTTGAACTACCACCTCGGCCAGAGTCCACATAGTCGCAAGCTGTAGACATATGATATGATGGGAAATTAAATTTCAGGACCATAAGTTGATAGATACTCATCAACCAGTTGATGCTTTCATTGTATTTAGAAGTAAGATTGCACAAAATGCTTGGTGCTTTCAATAAATAGGATACATTCTAAGGAAAGTATAAACGAGAGAAGAAAGTCTGAGCACTGCACAGATGACTGACAAATATCTGCAACCATGTTTGAGAGAAGGGACCGTCACAGTGAACAGTTCTACATGAAACTAATTTTCCGCCCTTGAAACCCAAAAACAAAACAAAAAAGAATATCACTCACTGAGTATAATGCATGCTATGCACAATGAGACTACTTGCAATCTGGATACAGTTCTCAAACCCAACTTCAAGCTAGCATGGAAAATTGCTTGGCATTTTGAATGCATAAGCATCAAGTAATATCATATTTTGGGAAGAGGTACTCACTATTTAAACTGTTTAAGCATATCCTTGTGAATGCGATTGCAGAAGTCCTCAACCGTCCTCCTCTTAGATGACAATATTACAGGGTCTTCGTAGTCGGGATTCATCCCTTTTGGCTTTGTATAAATACGAGTCAAATTCAGATATTCCCAAACTTTCTCAAGCAGACCATCAAGGTTCCACTCCAGGTGGGCACTGCAGAATAAATAAAATTATAAACAACAAATTCAACCATGTACGTAAGCAACTTTTTTTTTTTTACACAAGGCACTGTTTTACTTTCTATAATGGCTTGATCACATTACACCTTAAACATAGTTCTCAACGTTTTACTGTTGAATGAAATAGCAAAGCTAAGATTTGGAACCCTGATGCTATTGTTAGGTTCCATAACATTAAACAAGAGACAAAATCTTAAAGGAAGCAAAGATTTAGACCGTCTGTCATACACTGGAGCACGCATGCAAAGCTGCAGCGAGGAGATAATCCACAGGGCGTCCACCAACATAACTAAAGTCTTGGGAAACTAAATATCAAGGGAAGGCAAAAAAGGGAAGGCGAAAATAGATCTAATCACAATAAATAAATGGAAAACTGTAAATATCTCCTATACATTTTGGCACATATTAGGGACATCAGTAAATAAGAGACCTCAGACCCCTCAATCAACAACAACAAGCTTTAATCTCACTAGATTGGATCAGCTAATGGATTGCATAATGCTATTGTGCTCTATCAATAACCAAACCTCTGAGTATATTGTTAACCAATAAGAGAGCTCAGACCCCTCAATCAAATCATCAAAACTGCTCAGAGAAATAATAACAATTCATCAACTCATGCATTTGAGGAAATATATAGAATAAGAAAAAAAATCTTTTACATTCCATTTTATAGTTTTCTACCCAAACAAAAAAAGAAGAAGAAGAAGAAGAATTACAATCATGAAAATCCACCAAAGGCTGCTAATAAATAATAATATGCATTTTTTTTAATAACAGAAAAACACAACGACCAAATGAAGAAGTACCTGATTGGGCAGTAATGGGGTAGCTTATCTAAGATCTCCAATTCTTCAAGTGTAATCTGATCAATCTTGTTCACAACATAGATACAAGGCATGTATACTCTACTGCCCTCTATGACATCTATTAAGTCATCTGCAGTTGCATCATATCTGAGAGTAATATCAGCATTGTGAATTCTATACTCGCTACATATAGCCTTCACGGTCTCAAGATCCAGATGTGTATTAGTCACAGTTGATGTGAGATTGATTCCACCCTTATCTTTTTTCCTAAAAGTCAAGTTTGGTGGTTCTTTGTTTAACCTGTAGTTAAAAGATAAAGCGTAAATATTCCAGAGAAAAGAAAATAGAAGCAGGAATATCTCAAAAGCCAAATATTTAATTCAAACGCATAAAAATAAAGTACATGACTTTTCTAACCTGAATGGCCAATGGCCAAATAAAGCCCAAAATTACAATTATTTACTGAATTTTTATACTAGTTCATTCAGAGAGTATGCACTAACCACCATACAACAAGGTGACTTAAAATTACAATTATTACACCTATTAGCACTAAAAGGAGTCAGAACTCCATGCACATGAGAGAAAGGCAGGGAGGAATGAGTGAAACTACTAACACATTTTCATTAATGTCAGAATTGATAAGTTAACAATTAATGCATGAAACGGATGAAGCTGCAGAGATAGTAAAGCAAAATGATAAAGGGATGCTTCCATAAAGACTCAATCAGGAAGCAAGACCAAGAGTCAACAATATCTCAGAACTGTACTTCATCAAGAGAATGATGACCAAAAACCCATAGTAAATCAATGCTGCCACACAGACAGTGACATAACAGAAACAAGAGAAATAAGGACCATGTATTATTACCTTATGCCAAATCCCTCAAGCTCTTTTTCTATAAGACGCTTATGAGTTATTGGCTTTATTGCATCAAGGACAATCAAAATGCAGTTGCATGTCCTTGCCGTACTGATAACCTGCATTAAAACAAAACAGTTCACAACCCAACACAAAGATATGCAACAAAAGAAGAAATGGCACTGAGAAATTATGAATGAGACAAAATGAATCCTTCATTGTTGCAAGACCCAAAAAAACAGTACATTCAACAGCTAACAAGACTTGAAGTTACATAAAAAACATGTCATGCAAGCTTTTTTCTTGGAAAAAAAATTAACCAACAATAATCTTAGAAAAACTCAAAAGTTCTACAATAAAATGTAATAGAATGTTGGGTCTCAATCTCTTGAAACACTTCAGGATTCTGGAGGTGAGCAACAATTAAAAGTTCCATCTATTCCGATATACAGACCCAGGTGTTTTCAATACTTTAGACTGTGAAAATGATGTGAGCACAGGTGGGGTCCAATATAGCATGCAATAGGACTTCCATGGTAGCATCCATGATGACGTCAAGAATGGCAAAGTCAAGAAGCTGGAGAGAATATTTTGGCTATTAGAGTCTATTTAGTTTAATTCAATCAAGTTTTTATATTTTTATTGAATTTTTCGTATTTATTTTTCATGTATTTTATTTATTTAGTGTTTTAAGCTTCAATAGTCCATTATGTTCTTCTGGGTTTAAGTTACCTATTAGAATTTCTAGAGAGTCCTAGTTGAATTAGGAGTCTTTTTTATTTCTTTAAATATTACTCATATCTAGATGGCATAAAAGGAGAGCATATGGAATAAAAATAAAATTCAAAATGAGCATATACGAGAAAAGTGGGCATAGCACCTATTGAGGAGAAAATGGTAGAAAATCGTTTGAGATGGTTTGGACATATAGAAAAAAGATTGTGAGAAGTATCAGTGAAAAGAGTGGAACAAATAATTTTGAGCCCTGTTAAGAGGTATAGAGGAAGGCCAAAGAAAATACTTACAAAAATTGTTGGCCAAGACCTCTTAGTTAACAACATTCCTAAAAGCTTGGTAAATAATAGAGTACAATAACGTCATATAATCTATGTAGCCAATCCCACCTAGTGGGATAAGGATTGTTATTGTTGCATGGAATAAATTATTTCTTCTTAACAAGCTTCGCTTGCTTATCAATATCTAGGGTTAAATACCATGTGGCTTTTCGAATACTCGTGGCAGTGAGAGTTCCTTGTTTGAGAGATTCTAGGCATGATTCCAGCCCTTTGTGTGGGTATTTTCAATTAGAGTGTTCTCCGTGAGATAACACACCATGGGATTTCAGATTATCATGTAGTTTTCCATATCATTGAAAATACATAAATGTAATTTTTTATGTACAAAATAAAATGAGTCTCCTGGCCTTACCCATGCATTCAGTCAAAGGTCAATGCTACCAAAACATTCTCTAAGTTTCATAAGGAACTTTAAACACACAATAGAGTTTACATTTTATCGCCATAGCTGGGTAATTGAAGCTAAGCAGTCCAGACACAAATAATCCCAAAGAAGGGCCACAAAACAAAATTATGTTGATTGCATAGTATAACTTTTTACCTGCCTTCCTCTGCCTTTTCCATCCTTAGCACCCTCAATGATGCCAGGAAGATCCAGCAACTGCCACATAAAATTCAATTAGTATTAGTACTACTCAAGAGTTAAAAATACCTCCTTTTACTAGTTTGATAAAAAAGAAAGACTAAATGAGATAAAGGAGAAGAGATACAAATATAATCAAGGCTGTATAAAAGTCTAGTAAAAAAATGAAAAGAGAAAGCCCAAGAGGTTTAAAATTCGCAAAAAGCGATACAAAATCAAGGCAAATCTGAAACAGAGGCTCTCTCAAAGCAACATAGCGCTTAGCCATTAACATATGTAAGGACAAAGAGCTTATGCTCTAGAAGATATGGGCACTCCTCATCAGACATATATACCAAAGAATTACATAACTACACTCGACCACATAATTATGGCCTCCTTCTTATCAAAACCTTGAAGGGGTAGAAAGTGCAATTACTCTGAATTGTGAGGATGAATCTAGTGTAAGCCTAGAACTTCAAGTTAAAAACAAAAACAGAAAACCAACCAAAAATTTCCGCCCAATCATGTAAAGATGCATGGACGCTGATATGAGATTATGCATCTTGAATTGGAATATTATAAAGTTGCAGGCAAAGAAGATTGTTGCTTTACATAGGCATATCTAATTCATTGGGGACAACTTTTCAGCATTGAGAATACAATTAAATATTTCATTTCAAAACAAGCAATATTAATGGGAACATCTAGTCTATAACATGACAAGGAATTCAAGTTAACAATTTTTAAATGCCTGAATGATGCAACACAGTTTCTTTCTGTGGCCATACCTGAATTTTAGCTCCACGATACATTATCACACCTGGGATGCAAGTTAAAGTGGTAAACTCATAAGAAGCAACCTGAAAATAGAAAGACAGAAATAGTTATTCAGTAAATACCTACACAAAACCTAAAAAATTAGATACTTTAGAAAATTGTGATGTTATCCAACACCTCTACAGTGAAATATGATAATGACAAAATGCCATCCTGAAAAGGGAGGCTATGAAAGCACTGACGCTGTAGAGAAGGTTATAGTTCACTATGTTATTCAGATTGCTTAATTGTTTATGTTGCTTCAACTTTCTTGCTCTAGCATCAAGTTTCAGGTGGCTATTTTGAGTTCCTTAAAGCTTCAACTTTCCAAATCCTGTCCAAAGCTACATCACTTCTTCAGACTATTCTAAATGAAATGCTAATCAATACAAGGAAAGAAAACATTGGTAACATGATCAGGCATCTATAAATTAAATATTAAAATTACATAATAAAACTTCCATACCTCTGAAAATGTCCCAGTCAGCTTATTCAGTAGAGTAGATTTGCCAACTGAAGGAAATCCAACAAGACCAACCCTTGCATCCCCACTTTTAGTAACATCAAAACCTTCGCCAGCACCCCCACCTCCCTTAGATGGAGGTGCCAGTAGTTCCCTCCTCAACTTTGCAAGTTTGGCCTGGTACCATATATTTAAAAATATTGTACTTATACTTATTCCACAAATGTATCATCCCAAAAACATATATAAAAGAAAAAATTTTAAGTTATATTTACAAAATGTAAGGGTTAAATTTCAAGTATGATTATATCCTTAGGGTAATTTAGTTATTCAAAGAAACAACGTTAAAGAAGAAAACATTCATCTTCCCTTCCAATCACTTGTTAAAAAAAAATCATACAAAGAATCATTATGGATAACAGAAACATGAAATCCTATGAGAAAATTTTTAAGAAAAGAACTCAATTCCAAAGTTCCATTTAGCATTTTCTATCCTTTTAACCATATGAATATACATCTATGAGCAGATCTAAAACTATAATACCTTTCCAAAGACTACCAATAGTCCTTAATCCTCAATACTCATAAGGGCAGACACAGCCAAATGCAGGGGCAGAGCATTCAATGCCCATAAACACTACTCTGACAACAAAATATTGGGAAAAGGATGGGATCAGGCCATATGCGCTTGCGAATGCGAGTCTTATCAATATGGCAATCCTCTCCTTTAACCCATTCAAACACCAACTTAACAATTTTTTACTATGGTTATATTCAACCAAGACGTAGCATTTTTGTAAGAATTAACCTGACTTATCCCCTGGCCTATAAAAGTACGGCTCAGCTTGCTAAAGAACATGTCATTTACACCATACAAATAAATTCAATTACAACACACTGGTTATTAATGAAACCTAGACATATTTTCCAGAATGCAACTTGATAATTGAACAAACTAAACCAAGGTATTCACCTTCAGCAAGCCTAAATGATGAGCGGTAGCCTTGTTCTTTTGAGTCCTTGCCATCTGCAAAATTAAAATAACAACGTTCATATCGTGAATAAAAAATGCACAATCAATAAAAGTAACTGTCAATTGCATTACAACAATCAGAATATACAATGCTTTTTATGGCTAAGTACTCCTCAGAGATACAATTAAAAAAATTATACAACAAGAATCTAAAGATGAATTTCTCGCGTAAACATATAACATTTGAGAAGCACAGTTGTTTTAGTTGCACCAAACCAACTTCAGTTATTCTGAGAACCACGACATCAGTCATTCCCTACTTGATGCTTTATCATTTTAAATTGCGAACCTTCATGATTAACTTAAATGAGCTCAAAGCCACCTAGCAACCAAGGAAGGAATATGCTCTGAGGTTTATGTACGGTGAGATTACAGCTTTTATAAAATAAAAGGAGTCTCCAAACGAATTTAAATAGAGCCGGAAAACAGGAAAGAAAAATACTGCGATAGAGCAACAACTCTCTCCGCCTTACGAAATAGTCAAAAGTTGGAAGTTCCTAAATCAACACAGACTGTCATAACGTAAAATTTCCAATCAAACCAATTATATAACCACAGGCATGCCCTATAATCTTCTCAGAGTGAGATTGGATCAGGCAGGAATTAAGGCCAAGTATAGGAACCTCATCTTCGATGTCTTTGATTTTCTGCATCACCGTCGCCATTGTTGAAGAAAGAGAACCTCCGAGAAAAGAAAAGGAGAATTAGATTGCTCCTGGCGGGCAGTGCGGTTGGATTATGAGAACTGAGAACTGATGAGAAGCTCTACTCAATGTCCAAGACGAGAGCAGAGAAGGGCGAAGAAAGCGCTCGAACAAATACAGAGAAGCGAAACAAGGAGCTCTGCGTGCGATATAAGTAGAATTGGGCCGTTCCTTGAATAGTCTGGCCTGTGGGGCCTGGCCTCTGGCGAGCCGGGTAATGAAGCAACGTCAAACCAAGAATGAAAGTAGTTTGGGCTCGATCTCCGTCCGCATGAAAGACTACTAACTAGGGGAAATGTATTCCCAAAAAATACAAGGGAAATGACATATACAGACCTTGCTTTTGGTGAAAGACATATACAGACCATACAAAAAAGGCTAATAAAATTTAAAAATTGTTTAGGTGTTATGAAATTAAGGAAAAAGAGGGTAGCAAAACCAAAAAAAATTGAAAGATGAAGCAAAGGAATATATTTTATTATCTTGTGTGCATAATCCTTTGTATATAGCTTCCATTTATAGATCTTCAATCATTAAAGTCTAATATTAATATTACAAAAAAATAAAGAATGACACAATAGTGTAGTGTGTAACCTTTGAAAATTATAAGATATTAATCATAAGAAATTCCTTCTAAATCATTTATTGAAAGGTTATGGAAAATGAAGAATTCTAAACATTTGAAGTTGTGGATATCAACTCATACAATCATATGAACTTCATGATACTTTCCTTTAAATGTCCATAATAAATATTGTGCCTCATTAAATTTTTTAAAAAAAAACCCAATGAGACAAAAAACTAGTAAAGGAAAAAGAGTATAGAACATATACTGAAGCTACCACATTGAAAAACTTATCATGAAAATCCAATGGAACAAAACTTTGGTCAAGAGAAAAATATTATAACACAATAATTACCCTCCTTAATGACAATATCACTATTACTTTTCTTTATAACAGCATTACTTTTACTCCCTATAGTAACAACATCACTTTATTGTTATTATATGTCAATAGAGAATATTAATTTCTCAGATGAATTGTTGTGAATGATTTTTTAAGAAAATATTCTTTGTAATTAAACTATTCATGATGTATTATCATCATATGATATTTTTCAAGCATATTCCTCTAACATATTTTTTGGATATGTTAAGTCATTAATGTATTCTCCATTTGCCTTATGCAAATGGTTTCATAGAGTGTTCGTAGCAAATCTCTATTTCATTATCCATCTGCGTACCTTCATGAACTCATTTTTTTTTACAGCAAAATTATAACATGTGCAATATAAAAAAATGATTATTATCATAGAATAAGTATTTGGGTCTTCTCAACCATTAAATTCAATATATTTTTTTTGTAAACAAAACCATAATAAAAAATTCTAATGATTTTGAAATCAGGATATTGAATAATTCGATTTATGAGTTGAATAAAATGTAAAATTATATACATTTTTCAATATATATCCACTGAGTTAATAATATATACCCAAATTATTTTAATTCACATAATAAATAATTGTTTTGGTCATGCTTCTGGTATTTTTTATCCTTCAAGAATTCTTGTGTAAATTTTACTATGTAGTGAATCATAAGCATATGCTATAATATCCAATAGGCGCATCATATTTTAATTTCATATATTGCCAAACTAATTATAAATATAAAAATTCACCATGAGATAACATACTTGATCATTATCATTATCATTATTTGACCGTTGTGAAAATCCTTCTTTTCACAGAAAAATGTTTATATGTTTCATAATAATTTTACACTTCAAGTATTTAGACTACATGCCCATAATTTTCATATGTTTAAAATAAATGTAATTATACTCAAATTGTGCCATGTTTCTTTTCCCTTCCTTTGGCCAATCATCTTTCCATCTACTTTATATATCATATTCGTATATAAGATCCTTGTCTGATCACCTGTTTTTACCATCAAAATTATTATCGACAATTTTATGTTTTTGCTTTCTTTTTCTAGTTGTGGCATAACCTTTTGAAACCTCTTTATTGCTTTCAGGTACCTGAATCTTTTATGAGGTTTTAATAATTAGTTACGTATGGACCTTCTTTTAGAGTTCCACCTCCTCAATATAATTATTTTAATTATATGGTCCTCTTTTTCAAGATATTTTTATTTGGAACCAATTAACTTGCCATGCTTCAGACATGTCTTGTTTTCTTTTATAATTATTGGGGCATTTCAATTAAAATATGAGATTTAACAATTCTCATTTTGGTCAATAATTACATTTGATAGATATTTTGTAATATTTTATGAATGCATTTAATGAACTTCTAGTTTATATTATCATTTGAGATTATCTAAATAAGATTATGATAATAATACATTTCGTATATTTTCTTTTTCAACCATGTCTTTTCTCCTCGTCATGTTGAGATAACTTGATCAACTAATAATCACCTCATTATATAATATAAGTTTCATAATTCTACTTATTTTTTTTAGAAAACATTCCATTGTTTCACTTAGAGACAAAGAAAAATAAGAAATCTTTTACCTGACATTTATTCTCGACTTTCTTCAAATATTTATCTATGTGAAATGTGGTGGAATAATAAGACTAAACATTGCTCATTCAAATTTTTTAAAATGAAAAAATATTTGGCTATTGACCTAGCACCTTATGGAGGCTTTAATAAATGATTTTGCTAGATCTCTCAATAATATAGACTTCTCATCTGCTTTTGATAAACATATAATAGTCAATGAAAGTCTAAGATATAAATTCTGAAGAAGTTTCTATAGGAATTGTCTAAATTGCACAGTCTTGAAATTTCTTACTTAACATAATGATTTATTTAAATAATTTTGCAAATTTTAGGTTGCAAATATAACTATCTTTTAGATGCATCTATCAAATTTATTGAATATTTTTATGGTTCACATTGTCCAAATAAGTCCATATATATGAGTTTGCTATATTTCCATAAATGTAAAAATCCATATCCATTCAAAATCATAATTGATGATCTTATAATCAATTTTTTTAGAACAAGCAACATGTTCTAATTATGTGATATGTTGGCTATTTGTGAAGAATATCCTAGTTCTTCAATGAAAGTCAATACATAATTTCAATCCTTTGTTAAATCATATATAATCTATAATATCAAACAAGTTATGCCAGCAATATATCTATTTACATCAACAAACTTTCCTCTTTTTTTTTGGCCAGAGAACTTCTAATTTAATATAGCATGTTTCTTAACAAGCAATAAATTTATCAATTTTTTATAACATTCTTAATATGACATCCATTTGGGCTTTGAAAGGAAGTATAAAAGTAGAAATCTATCCACATTAACTCACACTTATATTCCAACAATCTTCCCCTTAAATATAAGTCACACAAAATTACTCCACTTGTTCTCATATTTCAAAGATGGTGATGGGCATATATAATAATCCAATAGCATACAATTTACTTAGAAGTCCAAATGCTTCCTATTTCACAAACAATCTTAAATTTCAATTCAATTGAATTATCACCTTCAAACCCTTAACAAACTAAATAGATCTATAGAATCATAGCTCTGATATAGATCTATTAGTCATAATTTTCATTATCAATTCTTTTTCTGACCATAGAATAAAAATTCATCTTAGTTCCTTTAGGAATTATAGACAATTCTTCAAGAACTTTCATATATTAATTGCTTACATACATACATAAACTCATATTTTCATTACTCATTAATAACATAGTTCTATTGGCTTCTTTTGATGCATATTTTAAATATAAGATAAAAAATATTTAAAATTTTCTATTATATATTTTCTCAAAATACCTTTTCATTAGAGGAAAAACATTACTTCTTTTACATCTATCTTGCAACATCCCAAAACTTATTTATTGAATTTATAAAGAAATTCAAGTGGAATTTGAAGAAATCTATAAGAATTAAAAACAAAATACATAAAGATAAAGCATAATGATTTAAGATGTTTGAGGGCTAAAATGAAATGAAGAAAATTAAAGAAGAATGTGAAGACAAATTCATCAAAGAAAATTTATCATTTCAGAAAATAAGATCCAATATATAGATTATTAACATTATAGTATAGAATGATAAATATGAGATTTGTGACTTTCTTTTAAGTATCCCAACTATTTAAACATTTATGAATTTGACTTAGGTTTTTTTTGCTTTTGTAGCTTTTAACATTTAGAAAGTATTTTTTTACTTTTCAAAAGTTAGATGTTGTTTGAATATTTATTGTTATGCAAACTAATTTTGGTAAAATATATTAAAATGAGATCCAAATGTAAATTTGGCCAACTTTACTTTCTGAAGCTTTTCAAAATCTGAAAGCACATTCCCTATCTTAACATTTCACTAGCATTTATTACTTTTCCCTCTCTACCCTTCATTCCATCGTTAGCCTCCCTTACAAATTAAATTAAATTATAAATAAAATATGTAATGAAGACTTCAACACCAGTTACATTATATTCTTTCATTAAGTGATTTTTACAAGATAAAATTAAGAAGCATGGTTAATTCAATAACTTTGATTAAAAATAAAATAATTCAACCTTTTTCATACTTAAACACGCGTTCTAATGAAAAAAAAAATAGCTAAATAAAACAAAAACAACATATATTAAACAGAGGAAATATTAAAAAACTGTAATAAATAATTAAATACTTTCATATTTAAATACTTTCTAGTGAACAAAGTTCATGATTAATTAGATACCAAATTCTACATTATAGATTGAATAATTAATTATGTTAATTTTTAATATTAATGTATGTTGAACTCTTTATTATATAATTTTTTCAATATGTCAAATTTATATTTTTTATTCTTCTTATTTAACATATCAAATTTTATATCTTTTAAAATTTTATTACATTTTTAGACATTTATAATATATTATATTTATATAAGAAAAATTACAAAACATCATAAATGAATGTATGTTTTGGTAATTGTATATTTAAAAATATATTTTATTATATATAATTTAAATAATTTTTAATTTATCAAACTGACTTTTAAAAAATGTATGTAAACACAAATTTTATTATAATAATTTTTATTAAATTAATTTTTATTGAATAAACTTTTAACAAACTAAACACACACTTGAACATTCATGAATTTTTATTTTTATTCATGTATATTTTGCACACATTACAAAAATGATTGTCAAAATTAATATCAATCATTTACAATAACTTTCTCATGTATAAAATTAAAAACTATAAATTCAAACTGAGGCATTCTCAAATTCAAATATAGAACACACACATATTTTTCTTTGCCTCAAAAGACACATAAAATGAATTTAATTCTAATATATATATATATATATATATATATATCATTATTAATGTCTAAAACTTGTGCAAATAATATTCACACTTCCTATATGTGCATTAGCAAATAAATTGGTACAGTATATTAATATCTCTATTTATGATCAATAATGAATTTTTGGTTTATTTGGTTTCACATCACTTTTTGAACACTTATTAGTATCATAATATCAAATATTTATAATAATTTTTCTCACACAAATTGATAACAATAAATTTAAATGCTAATAAAAATCAAACATTATATAGCTTTCCAAGCATATAGTCTCTTGAGCTTATAGTTACATCTTGTGGCTTTACAATAAATTTTAGCATTTTTCTCCAAACTTATGGCATTGGGCATCATAATAACTTTCCACATTTTTTATAATATCTTTCTTTTTACATTTATTTTCAAAGAATTGACGCGTATTTGTATATGTAGCTTCTGGCCAACATTTGCTCACAATTTTAATTACCATGGATATATTATTATTCCAACAATATTATTTTCAATAGCCATGAGAAAATATCATTGGCTTTTAGCTATCAATTTTGTGATCATAGTCATTATCACTCTTATAGGCATATCACGTGCTTTCAATTTCTTCACATATTAGCCTTCCAAACCATGTAAAAAATTTCTCAAAAATGCATGCTCTTTTGTACCTTTGATGTTGGGACTAATAGACTTTAGGGCTCTGATATTTGTAACCAATCGGGTGATCAAAGTGCCACAAATTTAATTAGTCTTGAGGACTATTATTTTTCAGTAACATTATTTTTTATAAGCTATTAGCCTTTAGGGTTATGACAAAAATATTTTTCAATTGAATTTTTTTTTTCTTGTCCCATGAATTGCTTGAATCATTAACTTTCATGGCTACGGTGTTTGTAGCAACAGACTTTTTTCTGGCCCATTTATTGGCATTGGACACACAAATCGTTCTTTTATAGAACTATTACAAAAGTGATATAACTTTTGGTTATTTAATCACAAAATATAATCCAGAGTAATATGACCAATAACTTATCAATAAAATACCAATAGATATTCAATTGAATATTATAAATATGAAAGAATAGAACTTTAGCTATTAATTAATGGTAAAAAATAGAAATATTAACATAGGATAAAATATAAGCATAACATAAAGTAAGGATAAAAGGTAAATTCTTATACCTCAACTTGATGAATATGAATCTTCAATTACTGATTAATCAACAAAATATATACATTAGGCCATCATTCCGTCTAGACAAATTGGAAAAACTTTACCACACCATTTGGATTAAACTATCTTCATGGCTTCATGCAATGAACACAACTCAACAAGTACCAATAAGATGCCACGAACTAATTTGGTAGAAAGTCATATTAATAACATGTTATGAAAATAAGGAGAAAGAGAGTAGGAAAAGAGAATAGCAAGATAAGAAAAATTGAGAGAAGAAATAAGGGAGTATATTTTATTCACTTGAGAGATATAATGCTTTGCGTATGGCCTCTGTTCCTTCAATCATTATAGTCCAACATTAATGTTACAAAGGAATAAAGAAAAATATGACAATATAGTATATAACTTTGAAGGTTATGGGCAATTAAACATAAAAAACTATTTCTAAAAAGTCATTTACTGGGGGGTTATGAGAGATAAAGAATTCTAAGCATTAAAAGTTATGAGCATCCACTCATATAATCATATAATATTCATAAGATTAGAACAAAAGTATCATCATCATTATTTTTCCTCTAAAAATCAACCAGCCAATTTACCGAAATAAATGATGGACTCATTCCACGTTGAAATAGTCGTATATAAAAAATTAAAAATTTGGATTTAACTTCTTTTTAGAAAAAAAATGTTTAACTTTTTTATTATTTTAATTTTAACCAAGAAAAATATGTAAAAGTTTATTATATCATCTTTGCAGCTATGGATTCTCCATGTAAATGCATTAAACTCTTCTATAATGTGATTGTGACTTATAGGGAGATCATTTTAGCAACATTAGCATCGAAATAGTGAACAGGGCCATCTTCAAGCTCTTTCCTCAATCTCAGAAAATTGTCATCTATATCAATGTGCACAAATCTATACATGTATGTGTGTAAAATGAAGGCAGCGATATTTTAGCAATTAAAAAAGTTGAATAAATTACGGGGGAGGATAAGGAAAGAACACTGAAATATCTGGAACCCACCCCAAGACACTTGTATCCAAGATGGCTCGTAGATCCCCCAAAAAGAAAAAAAAAACCCAGAAAAATATTAATGTTTTCTGAAGCGCCTCATAAATTGTTAGAGCCACCCCCCCCCCCCCCGGGGCGCGGGGAATGTAATGTCTTCTGTCACTGTCTAACTCTAGACCAACCCATGATGCAGTTTTCTTTAAGCTCAACGTTGATTTAATAAATTGTTGTGCTGAGACTTTACATTCGAGGATCAACTTTTGAAGTTAAGCTAAATGAGCCTAATCGCCGAATCATCACTTTATCCCATTATGATTGGTCTCAATCATCCACCAGAATTATGACACTGTCAGCCTCATAACCAAGCTCTTTGATCTGCAGAATTAAGTTGTCTAAAACTGAAGCTATAAGTGGACTGTCACGATGAGATGTGTCCTTGGCAATAAACAAGCGGACCTCATTATTTACTTCAATCCAACTACAACCTGGTTCTTTCATCACTCCACTTAGATCCATTTGTTCCCTCACCCTTCTAACATCTAACCACATGCCTTTGGATGCGAATATGTTAGAAAGCATGATATATGATCCGCTATCCATTGGATCACTTGAAAGCGCCATATCAGCTGCATATGTCCCTAGTTCAACATGACCTGTGAATCTGCATGCACTGAGCAGACTCCTCCACACTACTGCTGCTGGTTTTATCGGCATTGTCTCAATGAACTCCTTAGCTTCGTATACTCTCCCAGCTCGGCCCAAGAGGGATACCATACAAGCATAATGTTCCATTCCTGGTTCAATTCCATATTGAGCTGCCATTGACTTGAAGTGATGAAAGCCAAGGTCAAGTAGTCCTGCATGGCTACATGCTGAGAGTACGCCGACAAAGGTGACATAATTCGGTTCTTTTCCTTCCTTAATCATGAATTCAAACATCTGAAGAGCTTCTTTTGCTTCTCCATGTTGTGCATACGTAGAGATCATTGAATTCCAACAGGCAATGTCTCTCATACTTGTGGTACTAAAAGCTTGGCAAGCCTCTTGGATGTTTCCGCACTTGGCATACATATCCACAAGAGCATTTGTGACAAAGGGATCACTGTCAAGACCCATCTTAATGACTTGGTCATGAATCTGCTGGCCATGATGCAGACTTGCTAGGTTACTCGTTGCTGCAATTACAGCAGCAAAAGTGAATTCGTTGGGCCTTATTCTTGACATCTGTAAATCTTTGAAAAGTTTGATAGCCTCCTCACTTTCCATGTTTTGGGAATACCCAGAAAACATTGCATTCCATACTACAATGTCTTTCTCATGTGTTTCTTCGAAAACAAGTCTGGCATCCCTAACAAGTGAGCATTTTGAATAAACATCTATCAGAGCACTTCCAGCAAAAATGTCTAAAGAGAACCCATGTTTGATAATGATGCCGTGGATTTGGTTGCTTAGTTTTAGATGAAATATGGAAGCACATAACCCAAGAAGGCTTACAAATGTCAAGAGAGTTGGTGGCAATGAACTTAGCCTCATTTTATGGAAAAGATCTAATGCTTCATGCAGCTTCTCTTGTTTACAATACCCCTCTATCATTGCATTAAAGGAGACAACATTATAACCAGCCACAAGATCGAAGACTTTTCTTGCCTCAGTTAAAGAATCACATTTTGCATACATATCAACCAAACCATTTTTCACAAAATTATCATCTTGTAGATTGGACTTGATAATATAAGCATGCACTTGCCTTCCCATTTCCAGAGCCTGCAGTGAACCACATGAAGTGAGTATGCTCGTGCAAGCAAATGCATCTGGCTTCCAACCGATGTTTGCCATTTCGAGGAACAGCTTCATGGCATCCCAGTCAAATGAATTCTGCATGTAACCTGCAATCATTGTGGTCCATGAAACAAGATTTCTTTCTACCATCTGATCAAACAATTTCCTACCGTTTTTCACTCTGTGACATTTCAAATAAAAATCTACGAGTCCATTTACCACTGAGATATCAACGTCAATTCCCCTCCTCAATACATAAGCATGAACTTGCTTACCCCTTTGAGAAATTCAAGCACGGAACAAGCACTCAACACGCTAGAAAGTATATATCTGTCCGGTGATACATCAGTTTCCCTCATTTGGTTGAATAAACTTAAGGAAATGTCACTCCTTCCATGTTTGATATACCCTGCTATGATTGTAGTCCAGGTGACTGAGCTTTTTGACGCTAGACCACAAAACACTAGCATTGCTTCATCAATATCGCCATGTTTGGTGTAAAAATCAATCAAAGAGGTGCCAACATAAAGATCATGAAGGAAGCCACCTCTAACAACAAAACTATGTATTTGAAGAGCTTGACTGACACTACCTAATTGTGTGCAAGATCGAATGACACTGGCCAAAACGTATTCATTTGGTTTCTGGTCGCTGCTTCTTCTGAATCGGCAGAACAACGTCAAGGCTTCTTCATTGTAGTTATGTTGGGTGTACATAGAAACCAGAGAAGACCAAGTGATCAGGTTTCTCTCAGGCATTGTATCAAACAGATTCTGTGCATCACTAAGAAGATCCCCTTTAGAGTATTTATGCAAGAGAATATTGGCGAGGAAGACATCCTGTTGAAAGCCCAGCACCACGATGTGGGCGTGAATTTTCTTGTATAATGACCCGTGAACTGATGAATCAGAGGATTGTAACAAGGTGGCTAGTTCACGTCTGATTTTTCTCAGATTACGAATTGGACGATATGGGTCCTCTGGTGGAAGAAGAGCTTGCGACAAAGTGGAGAAAAAGTAGAAATTTTGGTTTATATTGATATTGTGAAGAAGTTTCAATTGAAACCTCAGGGGGTGATGGGAGCTTCGCATGTTCTGGTTCGCAAGCCATCCACTTCAGCATTCCGCAAGTACCTATAGTTCTATAATTGTTGAACGAGTGTTTTTTGGCCAGAAATGGTTGAACTTGTCAGTTAGAAGTTAATTGTGCAGTTAGGTTTCTTAAAATAATCTGTTAAATTTTCCCTTTTTAAAAAAAAAATTCATATCTTTTAAATCGTGTATATTTAATTAAAATAAATATGATTTTGACTTATTTAAAATATTATCATTAACTATCTAGATGAAAATATAATAGGGTTAATGAGTAAATATAACCCTGAACTTTTAAAATGTGTAAAATAAATCCTAAACTTTTAAATTCATAGTAAAAAAACCTTGATTGTTAACTTTTTAATGCTATTACTATTCATGTGAGTACTGTTTACTGTGGGGCTTAGTTAATGTTAACGTATCATTGTGAGTTAGCATTACGGACCCTAAACTATTATGTTAGTAATGTTTTGAACCCTGAACTATTATGTTAGTAGCGTTCTGGATCCTGAACTTTAAAATTTTAAGGAAATTATCCCCACTGTTTACGTATAAAACGTTGACTATTATGTGAAACAAATTAGCTTCAACATGGTTTGCCATGATAAATGTATCGTTAGTTGTAGCGAACAACTTATAATTTTATAAAATGACCTTTTTTATCCCTTTTTTTGTAATATTTTTCAAACGATTGGTATTCTATAACTCTAATTTAGCCTTATTTTTAATAATATTTATTTATTTAATGATGAAAATTTGAGATTCTATTTAAAAAGAAGTTTAAGTATTATAAGATTTCACAAACGATGGATGCGAAAGTCAATTATTTCATCAATGAATTAAAACTCAAATTAATTAGTTAATTAAAATTATCTAATATTTAAACTTTTTCAAATGAGATTCTAAATTTTTACCATTAAATAAATAGACATTATTTAAAATAATATTAAATTAGAGTTATAAATTAGGGGGAATGACATTAAATGTCTTAAAAACAAAGTTTATTGCACTCATGGCCTAAATCATTTTGAAATTATTCTACAGGCCTTAGGGCCCTAATTGCAATATTTTTTTAAAACAAAAATACTATTTTGCCCTTAATAAAAAGAAATGAAATTAAACGTAGAAGAAGGATGACAAACGTGGGAATGATTTCAAGATTTAGCAGATGGTTCACGAGATAGAAGTATTAATAGCTCAAGTTATTCAGTAGCGCTTCTGATGATTTCAAGATCTCAACTGAAGTTTTTCAGGTTTATCATATTCTTTCTGTAGAAATGAGCTGAAATTTTTATTGTTCTTGCTGAAAAAAATGAGCAGCATCCGTTTTTGCTGTAGAAATAATTTAAGGTTTGCATTGTTGCATATTAGTTGCTGATGAAGTGGTAACAGATGTGATATTCACGCATTCAATATGTAGCAATTCATTTAATGGAAGCATTTAATAGAGTTTTACATGAAGTACTAAGGTGCATATGAAATAGACTTTTTGTTGTACAAACTGTAATGTGATATTGTTGAGATTAAAATTTTATTTGTGATTTTACTGCTGATATGAGGTAAAGGTTGCTGAACTATTTTGACCACGAAAGTTTTAAAATGGATTAGTTGTTGTACAATAATAATAGTTGACTTGTTTATATTAGACTTTTACATGTGAACTAAATAAAATATGAAGAAAATCTTCTATAAAAATGTTAGAGTATTTGTTGTGCAAAAATAACTTTGAGTTATTTTTGTTGAACGTTGAGTTGTGCATTATGTTAAGCTTAACTTAATAATAAATTGAAATCACATGACTTTCAAGTGAGAATATAGAAACTTTGTGTTGTGCGTACTAGATATTATGTTATGCCATATTTGTCTAACTTGAGCATTCATTTTGTTAAGTCTAGCCTAATAATAAATTGGAATGACATGGACTTTCAGGTGAGAAGATATGAACCTTATGTTGTGCATAATGGATATTGTGTTGTACATTGTTTGCCTACAAACAAGTAGGATAGAGTCTCAATTCCAAGATAAGAAGATTTATCATTGTTCAAGATATGGAAAGGCCAGATATAGTCACAAGACATGTAAGAATCCTAACCCAGCATGAGAAGTAGTCATATTATACTTCTTTGGTATACATAGGCAATGATAATTATGTATATGGAAGTATTCCCAAGTAATATTGTTTAGGTAATTGGGAATGATAGATATTTTTTGTTTGTATATAAAGAAGCAACCGTTAGATGTTTTGAATATAGCGGCTAACTTTTTGTATATATCAAACTTGAAATATTGTAATATCATGTCAAATTTCATTTGGGTACTTATTTTAGTACCTAAGCTAGTACCAACATAAAATTCTTCATATCTGATGTAATTGTCCTTCTTAGTATTGAAAATTCATGAACTTTCTATTAAGTATGCATAGACATTGTCTTGTGCATAGTGAATGTTGTGTCGTGTATGGTTTGCCTAACTTGTCATTTCTGTTGAACAAGGTTAGTGAAATACTCAAAATACATAGATTTTTATTATGCATGTGTGGACATCATTTTATGTATAATGAATGTTGTGTCATTCACAGTCTACCTAACTTGTCATTTCAGTTAAACCCAAGGCTAGTAAAATACTCAAAATTCATGGACTTTCTGTTGTGCATGCGTGGACATCGTCTTATGTATAGAGGATGTTGTGTTGTGCATGGTCTGCCTAACTTGTCATTTTAGTTAAACCCAAGGCTGGTGAAATACTCAAAATGCATGAACTTTTTGTTATACATGCATGGATATCATCTTGTGCATGAAGGATGTTGTGTTGTGTATGGTTTGCCTAACTTGTTATTTCAATTGAACCCAAGGCTAATGAAATACTCAAAATGCATGGACTTTCTATTGTGCATGCGTGAACATTGTCTTGTGTACAGTGGATGTTATGTCTTGCATGGTCTACCTAACTTTTTATTTTAGTTGAACCTAAGGCTAGTGAAATACTCGAAATGCATGGACGTTCTGTTGTGCATATGTGGACATCGTCTTGTGCATAGTGGATGTTGTGTCGTGCATGGTTTGCTTAACTTGTCATTTCAGTTGAACCCAAAGCTAGTGAAATACTCAAAAAAGGCTAGTGAATTACTCAAAATGCATAGACTTTCTGTTGTGCATGCGTGGACATCATCTTATGCATAGTGAATGTTATCTTGTACATAATGAAAAAGGCTATGACTTGTAGATTTCATTTCCTTTTCATTCAAATATATACATAATTTCAATTACAAATAAAAGCTAATTCTAAATTACAAAAAAATTTAAAATATGTATGTAATCTAAGTAGGAGAACCTAATTCCACAATCCTATAATTTTTCTTTCTATACTTCAGTTACAACCTAATTCCATTTTATATGGCTCCCTCTCCTCTATGCTCATTTCTTTCCATACTTCAGCTATAGCCTCATTTGAATCACCTACTTTTTTATATTTGTCTTTGTTAATCTCCAAAAATTCTCTTCTAAAATCAGGCCATCCCGTAGTTGATATTGGTTTTTGTGATTTGTTGAAAGCCATTTTATTCTATGCACTTGTATAAAGTGACTATGATTACCAGAAGAGAAAATGATCAAGGATAGTAAAGCACAGCATGCATTACTATATTCTCCATTCATATAATTATGCTAAAAGCTTACAAGTCTTTATTTAGTTGTTTACTTGTTGGCTTGGAAGAAGAGGAAAGGGATATAAAAAAGTGAAAGCTTGCCTCTCTTACAAAGTTTTATTCTCTCTCTCCCTCTAGGTATTTTGATATTTTCTCTACTCCCAAGCAAACCCTAGCCTAACGAATCATGCACAATAAAAAGTCTATGTATTTTGAGTATTTCACTAACCTTGTTTAATAGAAATGACAAGTTAGGCAAACCATACACGACACAACATCCGCTATGCACAAGATAATGTCCATGCATACTAAATAGAAAGTTCATAAATTTTCAATATTAAGAAGGACAATTACATTAGATATAAAGAATTTTATGTTGGTACTAGCTTAGGTACTCAAACAAGTACCCAAATGAAATTTGACATGATATTTCAATATTTCAAGTTTGATATATTCAAAAAGTTAGCTACTATATTCAAAACATCTAACAGTTGCTTCTTTATAAAAAATAAAAAATACATATCATTCCTAATTACATAAACAATAATACTTGAGAATGCTTCTATATACATAATTTTCATTGCTTATGTACATCAAAAAAGTATAATATGACTACTTCTCATGCTGGGTTAGGATTCTTGCATGTCTTGCAACTATATCTGGCCTTCCCACATCTTGAATAATAATAAATCTTTGTATCTTGAAATTGAGACTCTATCCTTCTTGTTTGTAAGCAAACAATGTACAACACAATATCCATTATGCATAATATAAGGTTCATATATTCTCACATAAAAGTCCACGTCATTCCAATTTATCATTAGGCTAGGCTTAACAAAAGGAATGCTCAAGTTAGATAAATATGGCACAACATAATATCCGTTACGCGCAACACAAAGTTCCTATATTCTCACTTGAAAGCTTGTGATTCCAATTTATCATCAAGTTAGGCTTAACTTAATGCACAACTTAACATTCAACAAAAATAACTCAAAGTTCATTTTTGCACAACAAATACTCTAACATTTTCGATAGAAGATTTTCTTCATATTGGATCATATTTTATTTAGTTTACATGTAAAAGTTCAATATAAATAAGTTAACTATCATTATTGTATAACAACTAATCCATTCTAAAACTTTCGTGGCCAAAATAGTTTAGCAACCTTTACCTCATATCAGCAGTAGAATCACAAATAAAATTAAAATATCAACAATATCACATTACAGTTTGTATAATAAAAAGTTCATCTCATATGCACCCTAATACCTCATGTAAAACCCCATTAAATGCTTCCATTAAATGAATTGCTACATATTGAATGCGTGAATATCACATTTGTTACCACTTCATCAGCAACTAATATGCAGCAATGCAAACCTTAAATTATTTCTACAA